ACCCTGATACTGGTGGACAGGTAGAATCCCCTACATCATTTTTGACAGTTTGACATATTTCCTCTTGATAAAATGAACACTATGAAATCTTTGTTATCACCAATTATCTTATGTCATGGCAACCCATAGGTTGTTTACATTTTGGACCAAGTCCGTGCTATGGAGAATGAGATGCTGTTGAGAATCAAGCAGCAAGGTCTCGACATTACACCAAAGATTCTAATTGTAAGTTTAGTACCCAACATGATCGAATATGAGCTCTCTGTTATAAACTTATAATTGATTCCTAATGAGGTCTCTTTGGCCTTACATAGGTCACCAGGTTGCTCCCTGATGCACATGGCACCACCTGTGGCCAGCGCCTCGAGAAGGTCCTTGGCACCGAGCACACCCACATCCTGCGTGTGCCATTCAAAACAGAAGATGGTATTGTTCGCAAATGGATCTCGCGTTTTGAAGTCTGGCCTTACCTGGAAGCTTACACTGATGTATGCATTTCACTTTCCAGCAGGTTGTTTGTAGCGTTTCATTAGAATGGCAATCCATAATTTTTTTCCTGTTGCTTTCAGGATGTGGCACACGAGATCGCCGGAGAGCTGCAGGCCACTCCTGACCTGATCATTGGAAACTACAGTGATGGCAACCTAGTCGCATGTTTGTTAGCTCACAAGTTGGGAGTTACCCATGTACGCATTCTACCCCTTTTGCTCAGTACAAGATGTATTCTCATCTCCGTAGTATCCTATCATAATTCTTATTTCCTCATGTGCAGTGTACCATTGCTCATGCACTTGAGAAAACCAAGTATCCCAACTCCGACCTTTACTGGAAGAAATTCGAGGATCACTACCACTTCTCCTGCCAGTTTACAGCCGACCTGATTGCAATGAACCATGCCGACTTCATCATCACCAGTACTTTCCAAGAGATTGCCGGAAAGTAAGATTCTCTCTTTCACAGAAACACCGCCGTGGTCATTTGCAAATAGGATAAACTGATCTAATGTTTATCGTTCAATTTTCAGCAAGGACACCGTAGGGCAGTACGAGTCGCACATGGCATTCACAATGCCTGGCCTCTATCGTGTTGTCCATGGTATTGATGTCTTCGACCCCAAGTTCAACATCGTCTCCCCTGGTGCTGACATGTCCATCTACTTCCCATACACTGAACAGCAGAAGAGGCTTACCTCCCTCCATACTGAGATTGAGGAGCTACTCTTCAGTGATATTGAGAATGCTGAGCACAAGTATAATCATATATAACTCTTGACTTATAAAATAGATTGCCCACCGTGCTGGTTATCTAACTTGACTACCTCTCCAGATTTGTGCTGAAGGACAAGAAGAAGCCGATCATCTTCTCGATGGCTAGGTTGGACCGTGTCAAGAATATGACTGGCCTGGTAGAAATGTATGGGCGGAATCCTCGCCTACAGGAGCTGGTAAACCTAGTGGTTGTCTGTGGTGACCATGGAAAGGTGTCCAAGGACAAGGAGGAGCAGGCAGAGTTCAAGAAGATGTTTGATCTTATTGAACAGTACAACCTGATTGGACACATCCGCTGGATCTCTGCTCAGATGAACCGTGTCCGCAATGGTGAGCTCTACCGCTACATCTGCGACATGAAGGGAGCCTTTGTGCAGGTGAAGGACACTGTCAACCTAGGAACTCACTATGACTGAATCACGACATTTACTAGTTCTGACGCTCTTTTTTCATGTTTGGCTTCCTGTGCTCAGCCTGCTTTCTATGAGGCTTTCGGTCTTACTGTGATAGAGGCCATGACATGTGGCCTTCCAACATTCGCCACTGCATATGGTGGTCCAGCTGAGATCATTGTGAATGGTGTGTCCGGCTACCACATCGATCCTTACCAGAATGACAAGGCCTCCGCACTGCTTGTGGACTTCTTTGGGAAGTGCAAGGAAGACCCGAGCCACTGGAACAAGATCTCGCAGGGAGGACTCCAGCGCATCGAGGAGAAGTATATATGCAATTCTCTGTTACCTATCTATGTTACCATCTGATGCACATGCTCTGACTCTTTTAACAGCACTGAGCTGAGATTGATGCCCTGGGATCTTGACGCAGGTACACCTGGAAGCTGTACTCTGAGAGGTTGATGACCCTTTCTGGTGTCTATGGTTTCTGGAAGTACGTCTCCAACCTCGACAGGCGCGAGACTCGTCGCTACCTTGAAATGCTCTACGCCCTCAAGTACCGCAAAATGGTATGTGCCATGACATTGCGTTCGACCACCTTGATAATTTCAGCTCGGTTCATGTCTTGAGACTTAATTTCTCTGTGCCTTTGTTGTGTGCAGGCTGAAACTGTCCCATTGGCTGTTGAGGGCGAGACCTCGGGCAAATGATTTGTCCTTACCAGAGAAATAAATGGCGGGCGAGCGCTCCGCTTTACCGTTCTTGATTCAGTGATGGAGCACAGATCGGAGGGTGTTATGCCTTTGCTTGTCCTTTGTTACCGTTCTTGATTCAGTGATGAACTTTTTCCTGTTGAGTCCCCGTGTTGTCGCGGTAGGGGAACTGGATGGATGCTGTGTTGTTGGTACTTTCTCATGGATACAGTATTTGAATGAATGAATAAGATAGTCTTTGTTTTACTCCCAAGTTTCCCAAAATTCTGTGCAATTAACATTTATTAGGACCGGATTTTGATTGAGTCATTTTTCTGAGGGAAAAGGGAAAAGGAAGATTCAAAATCCTTTTTCTTCAGACTTTCACAAAGACATGGCTTCCTTTCTTTTTAGATATATTTCATTAATTAAAATTCTCTATAGTTAACACTAGAACATCTTGCTAATCCTATAAGATCTCGAAAAGGGTGGTAACAGTGAAACCAAATCTACATGAGGTCTACATACACATTGAACTTCCTATCTTGCCAAGCTAGCACCTCTCCATCCTCCTCCGCCTCAATCTTACCTTGGCTCACAAACCCCAAGTTTGTTTAGTTGTTTTTTTAGAATGGATTTTCTATGAGGAATACTATTGGATAGGGCCTCGTTGCCAAGGGCTACAAGACCTTAGTGCACTGGAACTCGTGGTTATGGATCCAAATCCTTCAGTATGAAATATTGTCTTTTCTAAATAAAAACCTGTAGTATATTGAAAAAGGTAATTTCGTTCTTGTGGAATAAGAACCCCTCGCACCCTAATGAAATGAAAGGAAAAAAAAATCATATTTTTTCGTTCCTATAAATCTTACCACTAAAATACTCGATAGGGCTACATTAACTCCCTAAACTATATAGGAAGAGGGGTACTTGACAAATAGGGGGCAATTGCATTGCAAATGACGGTGAGGGACCTCTTGATACCTTTTGTTCATTTCCTAACCGTAGCAGGTTTCGTGTGGCAGAAGCCTTTTTTGGGTTTAAACCGAGCCAAAACAGAGAGTTTCTATTGAAGAAGGAAGTAATGATGCTAGCCGGAGAATCAAGAAATAAATAGTACTCCCATTCAAAGAAATATAAGATCGAATACTTCCCATTCCGATTCTTTTTTTAGTCCAAGACATAATAATTTCTTGGTTTTGGCAAGAGCGGCGCGTGACAACCTTCAGAGCTCGCTGGTCGGTAGTTCTGGGCGATCGATTTCGAGGCACCCGAGATCAAAATCTACGACCGACGATAAAATAATTTGGGCATTCGGTCTAACCCGGAAGATTTCAGCGATATTTCCACGGAACCGAAGCAACAAGCTAAGCAGAGGACTCACACGCGATAGGCGCGCAGACGGAAGACCCGGACGCGGGCGCCGGCCGCCCTCCTCCTCCACACCGCCAGCTCGCAGCCGCGGCTGCCGACAAGAACCCGGGCGAGCCACGCCGTCGCGCCGCTCCAGTCTCGAGCGCTCGAGCTTCGCTTTCTGCCGCGGCCGCCGGAGGCCGGAGCGGCCGGTGTCACACGGCAGCACGATAGGAGAGGGCGCAAAACCGGCCGGCCCATCATCCCGCATCACCTGCCTTCCTGGGCCTGAAGTGGGCCCCGCGGGTCCGAAAAGCAAACCGAATCCGTCACGGCTCTGCCCACCCAGGTCGGACCGGATTGACCAGGACCCAGCCCAAGCCCGAGCCCGATAACGTACAGATGAGGCAGCCGCGTGCGGCGTGCCCGCATCGGCACTTCCTTCAACTTCTTCCCCTTCACACGCCGGCGAACGGAAGAAACCCACCCCAATCCCCACGCCCGACGCTTCCTCCCGCGACGACCGCCTCGAACCCCCGCCCCCGGCCCCCGCCCTCCGATCCGGCGCGGCCATAGGTCGGTACCGCCTGCTCCCCTCAATTCTCCTCCGTGGCTCGCGCGTTCTACGGCGGGGCGATTCGTTAGGGCGGACGGGTGGAGACGATTGATTTAGCTTAGCTGCCTTACGCTTGCCGAGTCGTTTGATGCGATCATGCAGTATTTTTTTGATTGATCTGTGGTGTTTGTTCGCGGTTGCTGTTCTACTGGCTAGGCAGGGTTGATTTTTCCGTTGATCGACCCATCTATTTCGTCTAGGGTTTCAGAAATTGCCCCCAATTGCTTGCTTAGTTGCTTACCCGTGGACGCTAGGCATGCGTGGTTAAGCGGTCGCGTTTTGGGAGTTACTTTGGGTGTGTTTTGCTGCAGTGCAGCTGCGATTTCACCTCTTGTTTTGGAGTCATGATGCACAGAGTTACACGGATTGTTAGTGGCTCTGTTGCAATGCGTGATGCTGAATACATTGCACAATTAGAAGGCTACTCAAAGTTGTTAGCAATATCTCACATACGTGTATACACTATAAAGTTTGATATATTTGCTAGAAGTAGACAATAAACAGAATGAATTGGGTGAAAGAATGGGCTTGTTATAATAATGTTGTATTATGAACTAGAGAGTAGCGACACTTTGAAGGATCTGCACCTTATTGATCTTTGTTTCCATCTCTGTTTTATCAGGTCTTTCTGTGTCATTGCTTATTACCTACATGAGTGCTGTATCTACATGATCCCATGGAGACCCCAAATGAAGTGACATCGTACTCATCCCTCTCCAAAATTGATAGCTACCACAGCCAGGCGGCTCCTATGTCCGATCTAGCTCCAGAAAACACATACCCAGTGTATGACTATCTCTATGAGCCATCTCTGGAACCAGACTTTCCATCTGAATATGGTTCAAGAGAAGATCCCTTTCCGACAGCTCAAGCTAGCTCAACTATCAACCTGAAGACCGTTCTAGGTGGTCTTGCTGCAATTGTTTCGCGTCCAAGCAAGATTGGGGATGATGCATCACGGCAGCAAAGTTTCAGCACGGATGTATCATTTCTAGGTGCTGGCAAGGATGGTGATTTGCATTCATCTGTTTGCGTTCCGAGTGCACCGCCGCTACTTGAGGCAAATGCTTTACAGTTCAGTGCATACAGGGAGGTGCTTCAGGCAGATCCCCCGGAATGGTTACCGGATAGCTCTACCAGTGTATGCCTGCAGTGCAGCTGTCCTTTCACAGCTCTGACTCGTGGAAGGCACCATTGCCGCTTCTGTGGAGGTATATTCTGCAAAGAATGTTCCAAGGGAAGATGCTTGATGCCCATGAAGTTCAGACTGCGTGATCCTCAGAGAGTGTGTGATGCTTGCTACGATAGACTTGATCCACTCCAGGCCTTATTGATCAACTACAACAGTAATGCCATGCAGCCTGCCAAACATGACGTCATGGATTGGACAAGTACGAGGAGCTGGTTGAATTTGCCTGTTGGATTATCAATGGAGTATGAAATATACAAGGCAACAAACACACTGAGGAAATATTGCCAGGTATGTTTAATTTTGTACCCAACCGATATATACTTGTATTCCAGAGCTGAGAAGTGTTTCTGTTTTGGTATGTGTAGGTTTCTAGATTAAATCCTGAGAAGTCAATACCATCATCTATCCTCAAGGGAGCAAAGGGGCTTGCTGTGCTCACAGTGGCCAAAGCAGGTGCAGTTCTTACGTACAAAATGGGCACTGGTCTTGTAGTTGCTCGCCGATCAGATGGATCATGGTCTGCGCCATCAGCGATTTTATCTGTTGGATTGGGATGGGGAGTGCAGGTATTTCTCCAGTAAAATCTTCTCTCTGAATCCACGGGCAACGCCTAAGCTTATCTGCTGGTGATATAATTCTTGTGATGTTCACCAGACAAAAGGAACATGCATGTTACTCATTTCATTCTTGTGATCTTCACAGAATAATTTCCATGAAATGCATTAAGCATCATGTCCTGTTTGCTTATGAGATTGGCATGATATCAGAGACAAGTTTATGTTGAAGCACTCTTGTTATTTGGACACTGAACTACACTATGTCATTACTTAAGATCATCTCACCATGATAATGACATTTCTTTGTGTTTTCCAGATTGGAGGAGAATTGACAGATTTTATAATTGTGCTTCATGATCTTAAAGCTGTCAAGGCATTCAGCAGCCGCATGCATCTTTCTCTTGGGGCAGGATTGAGTGCGGCAGCAGGACCAATTGGCAGAGCCCTTGAAGCAGATGTTCGAGCAAGTGAAAAAGGTTCTGGGATATGCTACACTTATAGCTGCAGCAAAGGTAATAAGAAAGTCGCGTCTGAGAATTATTGCTGTTGTTTCAGATGTGCATTAGACATGACTGAAATGGGTGGAAATCAGCACAATTTTAACACTGTTATCAAGTAAAAAAAGAGTTAAATACGCTGGAGGTGCCTCAACTTGTCTTGCACGGTTAGTTTAGTGCCTAAAGTTGCAAAATACATGAAATTGGTGCTCGAACTTGTCCTGACATGCAAATACGGCGCCTCCATCTGTATCCGGACGTACGTCCAGCCTGCGTGGCGTGCCAGCGTGGCAGTGGCTGAGAGTTGGAAGGCGCTAGGTGGCCCGAGCGTGAGGATTTTTTTTACAAGACCCCCTCATATAATTAGTCATGCAGGCAAATCTCATGAATTAGAAATTAGAAAAGGGAAAAAAAATGTGATACAGGATCGAACCCTCGTTGTCACACATTGCATTGTACGCAAAGGTTGTCCACCATGCCATACATAGCTCAGTAAATATTGAGGTCGAACTCCATATATTGCATCGCTATGCATAAAGTAACTTTGGAGCACGGGTTGTGTCCTATTTTTTTGAAGTTCAAAGAAACGGATTTTTTATAGCTAAAAAATTTCTGAATGTTTTTGATTTTTTGTACATGCACACATAGAAGTGTAATATATCCTTGTGAATTTTCATTAATATATGTGCTTGTATGCGAGAGATAAAAAAGACAAATACATGCAAAAATTGGCTTTTTGTTTGGCCGTGATGTTCTCTTGTTTTTTGCAGGATATAATATAACATAATTTCAAATGAAATTTGAAAGTCACTTAGAGCACATGCATACATTTTTGTGTGAAAACAATCAACTCCTTTTGAAACTTTTAAGTGGCAGATGGTAGCCTTTAAAAAATGTGCTCAGTGGCCACCATGCTCTAAAAATCCTCTTTGGTTGCTATGTACCTCTTCAAGCGATTCTTATTTATATATGGCACTTCTATGGACCCGCACAAACTTTATTTCAGTTTTTCAAGTTCTTTATTTTTATTTTTCACACTGTTTTTTTCGTTCAAGAAAAAATGTAAGAAAAAATACGACTGCCATAAACTCAAAGAAAGTGTTAGTGCATTTGAAAAATGTTTAGCATGTATTAAAAAATTAGAATGTGCATTTAAAAAATGTTTGTCTCGCATTACAAAATTGGCAATGTGTATTTAAAAAGAGTTGAACGTGTATTAAAATTATTCTGTAACATTTTTGAATAATTGTATTAAAAAGCTCACCAAAATACATTTTAATGCATGTTAAATAGTTTACAGAATACAACGTTGTAAAATTGTTAATAATTAGGTATTTTAGAAATACAATGAAGATAAACAATAATAGTGTGTGCTTGTGGTCCAGAATGAACATACATAAATTTACACAATAATTTCTAATATAGGCAGAACTATTTCAATCCCCATAAATTTTTGAAAAGTTAATGTCTACCTCTTCAAAGTATGCAATAACAAAAAAGAAAAAACATTTAAAATAAAAAATAATTGCATATTGTATTTTTTATATGGGAAAGTTACGTCTCATGAAACTAAACAAGAAATTGGATAAAAATAAAAATGAAACTGATAGATAACGAATTAGGAAAATTAAAGAGTGATACGTGCGTCCACATAGCTTTCTAGCTAAGAGGTGAACACAATACATATTTTGGGCAAGTGGACAGATCAGCCGTAGTTGACCAGGAGGTTTTAAACCCCTTCATGATGATTTTTTCATCTTATTTCTCGCTAGCATACACTGTATTTCACGTCTTTCCTATGTGATTAAAATAAATATAAGGGGGGTTTTGTAAAATAATTCCTCATGCACGGAGTACCCAACACTTTCCCACTCTCAGCCACTTATAGGTGGGCCACCGCCATGCTGGGACGTCATGCAGATTGGACGTACGTTTGGATATTTAAGGAGACACCATATTTGCACGATTAGACAAGTTCAAGCACTAGTTTCATGTATTTTGCAACTTTAGGCACCAAACTGACCGCCCAGGACAAGTTGAGGCACCTCCAGTGTATTTAACTCTAAAAAAACAAATTTAAGTTTTTAAACTTTGGACTGAGCTTGTTCTCTGAAGTTATTTGTCAAGTTTAAGAGTGTTTATTGTGTCATGTAAAATAATGTTTGAAAGTTACTTTACAATCTTATTTTTAAGGAGGAAAAAAAGGTCATAGGCACACATTCTGTCTTCTCATTAGCCAAAGGATGCCTTTTCAATTAAATTCAGTCTCCAATGTTTGGCTTTCCCTGTTAAGAATCTTGTAGGCTTCATTACAGGTATCTCAGTATCCTTCTGATTCATAGCTTCATCTCAAAACTTGAAACAGGTGCCTTTGTTGGGGTCTCCCTTGAAGGAAATGTCGTGACAACAAGATCAGACACCAATCTGCGCTTCTATGGGGACGCCTACGTGACCACGACCGATATCCTGTTTGGGAGGGTGGAGAAGCCCAGAGCTGCGCAACCCTTGTACTCGGCTCTCGATGATCTGTTCTCAAAAATGGTTTGCTAGTTCTAGCCATTGTAGTCTCAGCATTCAGCGGTGTACATATATCTAAAATATGCTAGGAACAGTCCTTGGGAGAAAATATCCCAGAAAAAAATGTACAGCTTTTATTGGGTGGGTTCACTGCAAGTATGTGTCCACGCATGTAAATATTGTCAGGAGATCACTATGTTATCCGCCGTCGTGGCTTGATTATTGCAGTGTGATGCTGTTAAAATATTTCACTCTTTTAGCACTTGAAGGGCGTAAAATTGCTTGATTTGGCTTGTTTTAGGTGTTAAAATGTTGACAGGTTCGTGTTCGTAAGACTCAGTACACACAATTTAAGAGTAGGAACGTCGATATGATGGGCCTGTTTGGTAATCCACCGGCTCCACGAATCTGGCGGAGCACCTATTCCATCGCTTTGAAAATTTGAACTGCAGCCCACTCCGCTCGTGACAGAGTTGTGGAGCGGAGGGCCTCTGAACGGGCACAATAAGTCAGAAGTTAATTACAATCCTGTGATGAATAACACGTGATGAATAACACTTCAATAAATTTGCAAAGTTGCTATCGTCTAAAAAATGTGCAATTAAATACTGTGAGATTTCTGACTGTATTATTAGCGATGCATGTTGTGTCGAGAGCATCTACAACGAGAGTCCCCATTATCCTCCCCGAACGTTTGACCGGCCTGCTCAGTTACTATCCGGATAACAAATCGGTTACTCTCCGGACAACAAGTTGCCATCCAACTGGACCTGTCAAACTCAACCCAAATGTCTCGGCTGTCCGACACCCTCAGTACCCAACTCATATTTAAGGTAGATATGGGGAGGCCTCGACTCATTTGCCACATCAAATATGGCCCACTATGGGCCACCATGAGCCCACAAATAATCCACCGCCGGCTGAAACCCTAGTCAAAGTCCATAATCTTGATCGCTTCCACTTTTCGTCTCCTCCCCTTCCCATCCCCCCCTCCCCCCACCATGGCCGTCTTCGATAGCCACTTCGACAGCGAGTCTGATTCCATCGACTGGGACAAGCTCTCGAAGGAGGACGGCTTCGGCAACGAGCCTCTGGACGACGAGGAGCTCGCGCTCCGCATTGCCATCCAACGTTCGCGGGTGGACATTGGCAGGAGCTTGAGCCCTGCGACGCCCCTGATGACCTGGCTACGCAATGTGGGCGAGCACGGCGCCCATCATGCTCCGTGCCACTGCAGATTTGTCGTCAGGCGCGCCACATCCCTTTTCCTCCGGCCCCAGCTCCCCTTGGGCAACCAGGCAACGTTGGATGCTCATGCCCGTGCCGAGCCAATGGATGAGGATGTCGGACGCAGGGTGTCGTGGAATTGTCACGACAGATGTCCTAGAGAAAGGACTTAGTCGTAGGGCCATCGCAACTAGGAAGCTTAAAGGGGTTAATCGGGACAAAGGACACGAGAGGTTTTATACTAGTTCGACCCCTTACGATGAAGGTAAAAGCCTACGTCTAGTTGTGTTGGTATTGCTGGGGGTTCGATCACCAAGAGGCTTAACTCGTCGGCTTGGTTATCGAGCTCTTGTTTCTTGCCCTAAGCCGCCACCGGGTCGTCCCCTTATATACACAGGTTGACGCCTGGTGGTTTACAGAGTCCCGGCCGGCTCATAATCGTGTCCGGCTCGGTGACTTCTTTTACATGCCTTTCTTTACAAGTCTTTCCTTACATACGACGGTTCACAATACCGGGCCTTAAGCCGCCTCCAGGCCTTTGGGCCTTCTATAAGATTTGACAAACTATCGTCTTTAAGGTTTACTGGGCTTCTTGTGTAACCCGCCATTGGGGCTGACCCGGCCCCTCCTGGGCGGGTCATAACTGATAGTTATATCCCCAACATTAGGCCCAGGTTGACTTTGAACTTCGTTCTTTGTCAATCTTCAACACTTAAACAAAATCCATCTTCTTATCCATGCAGAAGTTCTTGTAACCCGCCATGATGTCATCTCTTGAAAACGCAAAAAACTTTTATGACGTCATCTCCCAACGGATCTTCATCTTTAATGTCTTCCGAGAATCGAGGCGTCTGTGTAGTTGGGTAACCATTATTCGGCTATCCCTCGATTTTCGCGCCCGTCTGTTCACATTTTCCTTATAAATAGGCACGCTTCGCCCTTCCTCATTCTTCTCTCTCTCTCCGTCTTCTTCCTCTCGCAACCCTTCTGCTGCTCGAGCCTCACCGCCGTCGCGCTTCTCCTTCGTCTCCGTCGACCTTGGCCGCTGCATCAACTCGAATCGGTCCAGAGAAACGGCGGCGACCTCCGCAGAAGACCTGCGACGGTAAGTGTTCTTCCTTTCGTTTCTCAGATCTGCATTAGGGTTTCCAGGCTCCTGCGTGTTCTTCATGGTTCATCGTAGTTCTTCGCAGTTCTTCCACTGCAGTTCTTCTTGATCCAAAAAGATATGTATGCTTGTGCGGTAGTGGTTTTGTGCCTACTCTTGATATCCACAGATCTCTTTCTCTGGTTCAAAGACCTCATTAGAACTTACAGACTCATCTGCACCAAACTTTTTAGGTCTAGGATTTTTTTGGATTGTGAATAACCATTTGATCTGGAATAATACCAAGCAATTTAGGAAACTTGTTTGTCTCAACACTTAGCTAAATTTGTAGCTAAATTTGCTTTCTTCAAATATCTACAGTCATGGCGGCTTACTGTGCCGGCTTTCTTTTCTTTATATGACATTAGCCCTTAATTAAGCCGCCATTACTTATTTGCATCATCATCACTTAACTATTAAAATCACCATTGAATTGAACCGGCATGTTGTCTTTCTTTTCAGTTCGTCTTTGAACATCATGCCGTCCAAAGCACCAACCATCTGTAACTGGGTTCCCTCAACCGTAACTGAGGAACGTTTGAAAGAGTTCTTCACCATAGGATTTCTGCCAGGAAAAGACGTCATGTCTTACCGTGCCCCTAACCCAGACGAAGAACGACCCAATCCAAGGGCAGGTGAGGTGATTGTTTTTACTGACCATATGAACCGTGGCTTCTCACCGCCCGGCTCAAAGTTCTTCAGAGAGATCCTCCACTTTTTCAAACTCCACCCTCAAGATATTGGGCCCAATTCCATATCTAACATCTGTAACTTCCAAGTGCTCTGTGAGGTGTATCTTCAACAAGAGCCGACTGTGGACCTATTTAGAGAATACTTTTATCTGAACCGGCAAAATGAGTGCACCAACGACCTTAGCTTAGAGCTTGGAGGCATCTCAATTCAATGTTGGCAGGGCGCTGTCTTCCCCCCATAGTCTTGTCGAGTCATCCAAAAGACTGGAATTAGACTTGGTTTTACTGCCAAGACATTTCACCGGCAAACGAGAGGCCATTGCCGGGTTATCGCCCCGAACGTCTTGACTCCAAGTTCGCGCTTCCTGACAAGCTCACTGCCGCTGAACGCAGAAAGCTGATACCATACATCAAAAGGATTAATGCTCTGTTAGGGAACGGGTTAACTGGAGTTGATCTGACCCGCTGCTGGATCTCATGGCGGGTCATCCCTCTAAGCCGTCGGTCAAAGCTGATGTATGAGTATGGTGGAGGCCCGGATGACTCTCTTCGTCACAACCCCGCTCAATTAACAGAAGAAGATATTGTTTCAATGTCAACCCTTTTGGTGAACGGTAAATACGAAGATTGCAGTATTGTCGGGTTAAACCCCTTCTGCAAGCTTAACCCGGTGCCAGAAGTAAGGATATTCTGATCTCTTCTCCTTTGTATTTTTCCCAGCCGTATTGTTTAATACTTGCCTGACCTTTTCATCGTGTTTTTACCTGTCTGCAGGCCAACTCTGACTTCTGGAAAGTTAAATATGACCACGAGGCTGCCAAGAAAGCGAGAGCCGCAGCCATAAACGCCAAGAAGACGACCCGGAGGTAGAAAAAGAAGAAGAAGAACACTGCTGAAGATTGGATGAAGCTTGACGATACATCTGAGTCGGAGGTAGCCCTTGATTCCCTTGGCCAATTTTTTTTAATAATCTTATTAACACTGATCATTACCAGGATGACACTGGGGCCAGTCAGGCCGTGGAAGAAGAAGAGGTAACTATCATTTCTTCCGACTCAGAGCCCTTGCCAAGACAAAAAATTCGACGAGTGATCCGTAAAGTAAGGTTTTCTAACCCTTTAGCTCACTTGGATCCCAACTTTATTTTGAAAAAGCAGCAACATGAGAGCCGCCGTCAAGCCCGGACCGAAGACGAACCGGCTGTTGTTCTTCAACAAACTCCTCAGAAGCGCCGGAATGAGGTTTACTTCTTTTGTCCTTAATTAACTCCATTTAATGGATCCTTTCCCTTGCATTACTTTAACTTTATTTTATCTTTTCAGGAGGTGTCTCGCTCTTCTGGCGACTCATTTATGATTAAAAGGAACCGGCCCTTGGGGACTACAGGTGAAGCTTTGTTCTATTTTAGTGAACGCCCTCGATGCGGCTATATCTCCCACGTGTCGAAGCACGACTTAGAGGCATAACCGCATTGAAAGCAATGTCGCAAGTGAGGTAATCTTCACACAACCCATGTAATACATAAGGGAAAGAGATACATAGTTGGCTTACAATCGCCACTTCACACAATTACATGAATAAAGCATTACATCATCCAGATACAATCAAGGTCCGACTACGGAACCAAAATAAAAGAAGAACCCCAAATGCGACAAAGGTCCCCGATCGACCCCAACTGGGCTCCACTACTGATCAACTAGAACGAAACAACACAAAGGGCAAGATCTTCATCGAGCTCCTCCTTGAGCTTGGTTGCGTCATTTGCACAGACTCATCAGCACCTGCAAGCTGGTTTTTGGAAGTATCTGTGAGCCACGGGGACTCAGCAATCTCGCACCCGCGAGATCAAGACTATTTAAGCTTATAGGAAGGATGGAGTAATGAGGTGGAGCTGCAGCAAGCGACTAGCATATATGGTGGCTAACATACGCAAATGAGAGCGAGAAGAGAAGGCAAAGCACGGTCGA